CACTCCCGAATACTTGGAGCGCGAAGCCCGTCGGCAACGAAGGCGGGAGAAAAAAGATCGCGCGGCGATGGCAGGATACCACACTAGCCAATCTGAGCACCACCCCGTGCGCCGTCACAGCCGTCGCGAGAGCGTCGACGTTGGCAACCTGCCCGCACCCTCCCGCCGCAACAACGAACTCCCGCATCCCAACCGTCGCGAGAGCATTGACGTGGTCCCAAACACATCACAGTCCGACCATCACCCACATCGTCGTGCCATTGAAAAGGACGTGCGTTTCTCTGGATCATCGATCGAGGAGGAAAAGGAAATGCAGCGGCTACAGCGACGGCGAGAACGGAAAGAGGCAAGGAAACAGGTGCTTGATTCTCCGCCACTCGTTGAGGAGCCGGTGGTGAAGAAGAAACATAAGAAGGAGCGAAAGGAGAGGGAGAAGGAAGAGGATCCTGAGGTTAGGAGGGAACGGCGGAAGAGGAAGAAGGAGGGGAAGGAGAAGAGCTATGGGTTCGCTGGGGATATGACGGATGCTGAGGGATTTACGACGGGGAAAGAGAGCAGATCCGGCGCTGGCGGAAGTTGGTGGAAGAAGCTGTTTTAGTTGACGGTAGAGACAGTCGTTTCAGAAGGTGGGGTGCATATATCATAGCGATCGTTGCTGTGGCATTGTGTTGGGCGGTGTTTATTTTGACTTTTGTCGGTGGGCGGCGGGTGGGATTCGGAAGCTGGAGGGGTTCATTCATTGCATACATTGTGTTTTCTGATATCCATGCTTAAGGGGAGTTTTCTGCTTGCAACTTTCTGATGATTTTAATGTTGATGATTGGGATTTCTGTGTTCACACTGCCTGTCTTCTCGTTTTTTTCTTGGTTCTGAGCGAGCGAGCGTGTAGATGGATGGTGATGTTTATTACTCTACTCTATTTAACTTAACTGTGGGGAGACATGAAATGGAGCTCGTACGCAGGTCCGGAATATTAATGAATCGTGGAGTTTCTAAGGAACAAATGGGCTGTCGTTTTCCACGTAATTAGGATTCTTATTTTATTTTCAATGACTCACAAGTCAACCGTCCATATGGCCATAAATGAAATGATCTGGATATAATCTGCCAAGTCTGTTCAAAATAGAGTAATCCTTTGGAAAGGCAAGCCAAGCCTGTGAACGAACAGACCATTTTCGACAATTCAAGTATAAAGTATCTAGCGAAAGGGAATTAAGCTTCAACAACTGTCATGGCTTTAACACGCTGTTGTAGGTATATAAGACAGAATGACACCGATTCGTCCACTTGAATAATTTATACGAAGCACTCATCGAATACCCAGTTTCCAATGCCTCTCCAGCGCCGTCGACATCTCCTCGACCTCCCACCTGAGATCCTCCTCGAAATTGCTGAGCGGCTGCCCCGTTTCAAACACATCAACTCCCTCCTCCGCTGCAATCGCAGGCTTCAATCCCTACCTTGTGAGCCAGAGCCAGGAAGACGCGAGAACTCGAGTCGAGCTAATGACCGAGCTCAAACAACTGATCAATACCCTAACTAAGGAAAAGACCTCCTACGAGAAATTTATGGAGTTTTTGAAAGATAAGGGAGTAGATACAATCGCCGGAACGGGGTCCAATCTTTCTGAACCGACCTCGTCAAGTCCAAGGGCATGATGCCAACCGACTACGGTAGTACGAGGGAATAGACAGTTAACGCCACCGGCAATATCGGCGCAGACTCCCCTATGGAGTTGCGTGGGTTGGCCGGCCGCAGCTTGGTCCCGGCCCAGGTTTCTGGCATAGCAACTGCTGCGGTGCGTGCTGCGTCTAACTTTTCGCTGCCAAGCATGGGAATGGTTTTGGTGACCTTATGAGGTCTACTCTCATTTTTTTATGGCGATACATTAGCCCATTTCTACGGGATAAAGGGAGGAGGGAGTAAGTAAGGAGAAATCCATGCAAGGATGAATCGGGAGAGAAGGAGGCAAAGTATGTGGAAGAGCTGGTAAAACGTGCTCCGGAATAGACTGAGAAGGAGAACGAATGGAGGGAAGATTTTCAGACCAAATACCGGTGTTTGTTGACAGTAGATTCTTCTTGGTACATAGCACACAATACGACCCCAATGGGTACTTATGTATACGCTTCATCTCTAGAGTAGAACTTCCCAATCACAGATTCTCGCTACGCAATAGCTGCGAGTGATTGCACCTGACGCCACGCCTTATGGAGGTAACTCCCGGCCATAATCTCCTAAGTCAAGCCCAGTCTGCTGGAGATACGATACTAGTTACTCTGTCAGATATATATGGCGTCGAAAGCCTTCGTCTTGTGACTTACTACATTCAAAAGTACTCACTAACTCTTACGAAAGTCCCCTCTAGATCTTACCTTCAACGCTCTACCACACAACCCCAAATAAAAAGAGCAAAACAACAAACTGCTGGTTTTCAGCCTGTGAGGGATCGGTGTTTACAGCACCTATCGAGTAGGTATTGCAGGTTTCGAACCTGCATCTATCTGGTGTTTCTATCACCACATCCAGTCAACTCCGTGAAGACATTGCTTCTTGTTGGACGAATAGTTTTAGCCGTGACTATGGAGATATCATAAATGGTGAATAATAGAGGGGTAATCCGCCAGCAACTTCGTGGGATGGGTCCTCGAACGGGATCGGGACCGACAGAGGACTCGAGCCGTCTTAACGACGGCCACCTGTAGTCTTGCGAGTCTCTAGAGCTGCTTGATCGGTATCCCGTTTAGGCGGTTACCGAGTGGGAAAAGGAGCGTTGGCAAAGTGTGCGAAAAATGTGCAGTTCAATCAGGCGTACATGCACACGGAGAGATGATTTCCCAGTATATGAGCCTACAGAGCTCCAAATAGAGCCTAGAAGAGCACATCGCACTTGATAGGCACGAATAGCTTGCGTGCCTCATATATTCTGGATATAAGAAAGTGGGAAACGTATGTATAGAGTACATATGTACGTACTGTGTTCCCTTGGACTGTAGGGATCGATCTACCTAAGTACTTAAGTATGCTGGAGGAAAATAAAATGCCGCACTTCATATATATATGACTGCGGCTTTGGGAGAGAAGAGCTGGGGAGTCGTTGCGATGAGGTAAATGATGCACGATGCCGTGATGATTCTGACATCTTCAGAGGCTCCGAGTCGCTTGCTATCTTCAGAGGCTCCGAGTCGCTTGCTATCTTCAGAATAATTGCCTGCATTTACGTGAAGAGCCAAGTAGAATCATTATCGCATCAGAGATTTCGGGAGGAACTTGGCTAGAAGGAACAAGGTGTTAAATGTCTCATTAAAGTTACTAAATTAGGTCAAGAATGCCGCCTTACAAAATCAAACCCGCCAGATATTCCTGCAGCCCAATTTTCTCCCCTCACCCCTCTATTGACTTCATTCCAAACCTCTCCTCCCACATTCTCTTCATATTCTTAATTTCCTCCTTCATCTCCTTCTCCGACGCCTCCAGATCTGCGACTCTCTTCCGAAGCTCCTGAATAGTAGCACTAGTCCCTTCTTTTGTCTCCTTGTCCGGCAACTCGACCGGCTTCGCCATCATCTTCGCCCGCGATGCAGCTTCCTTCAACGACCTGTCTCGAATATTACACGCAAGAAGCAATGCGTCACGCAACTGCTCTTCCGGGGTTCCCACCGAAAACCCGAAAATGAGAGGCGTCGGTCTCAATCCCCTTTCAGCCACAGGCAGAACCACCTCCAGATCTGGATACCCGTACTCCCGCCAACGCGGCTCAGAAAGGTACACGCAAAACGCTTGTGTGACTAACCGGTTACGCTGGAGATGCAGCGGCTGCGGAATGCCCTTGCGGAATATCTGAGCTAGCTCCTCCCCGCGCGCGAGCAGAAGCCAGGCGTCGTAAAGCGCACTGCGAAGGAACTCATTGCTGTACCGTGTGAAAGCGGCGCGATCGGTGGCGTCGTACCCAAGTTGGTCTGTGGGGTGGATGGAGGAGAGGATTGCAAACGCGGTGCGGGAGACGATACGTGCAGTGCGAACCATCACCGCTACTGCTTCCAAGGGGTCGGCTTCGGCATTGGGATGCTGCGCACGGTGTAGAGCCAGTGCGGTGGGGTAGAAAGTAAGTGTTGGTCCATTGACAAGAGGGTCGTTGCGTAGGACGCGAGGCCAGATATGTCGTTTATTGGCTCTGAAGATGCAGTACAGGTGCTGGGAGCAGCTGGCAAGAGAGACGGCGGAGGCGAAGCCGTGGAGCTCTTGGAAGACTTTGGTGATGATTTCGACGGGGAGGGAGGTGAGGGTGTGCATGATGGCGGCGAGGTTGCTTTTCAGGGGTTGTGGAGTTAGGGAAGGAAGGTGTTGTCCCTGGTGCTTTTGCTGCTTTGCAACGGCTGAGACGTAGACTACTCTATGTGTTCCTTGAGGTACGCCACAGTCACGAACAATTGTCAACTCCATATCACCAAACTCCCGCCTGCATCCCTGACCAGACTGAATCTCTCCTTGTCTTTGGTGAACGATCCCTTGAGCATCACCGTCAGAAATATCCGAAAAGGTTTATTCGATACCATAAGAATCTTTACGAAGAAACTCTACCTCGAATTCTGACGTGAGAAGGCACTTTACTTCCTCAGCTCTCATCACATGTACCAAAGCATGTTTGGTATTACAAGGCACGCCATCACACGCGCAGTACGCGCGGTAGCGTACACCTTAAAGGCACATGCGAGCACTAGGCCTATAGGCTACAGAGATACAATGCGTATTCGCATTCCGATGAGATGCCGGGGGAATTCAACCGGCCTCGGGTCCTATCATAAGTTTGCACCCAGGGAGGCGGTATATGAGTTACTTGGATCCTGGTCGGATGTCTTACAGTACGCCCAGGCGAGATCCACGACTACAGAAGGCTTCTCGGTATATCCAAATGTTTGGCTTTGGCTGGTAGCGGGGTACTGGCTAGTTACCTCCGTCATATACGTCCTGGTCTAGAATCATCAAGTTATACCATTTCAGGAGACATGGCGCAGCGGCAGCGCGTATCGCTTTCGAGCAATAAGGTCAAGAGTTCGAACCTCTTTGTCTCCAGCAGCGGGGCATGGAACTGTCCAACAGCGTTAAATCCCTCGTTACTGGCCAGGCGTTGGGATCGTTGCATAGTTCTTTGCCCCGCTACGCCTTTTTGCTATACGTCGGACAAAAAAGAGCAAAAGATAGGTGCTGTAGGTTTCGGGCCATAGTGTTTACAGCGCTGAGCACTTTTCGTTTACAGTTAAGCTACGAATCAGTTCCGAGTATTGGAAGATGTGAACCCTTGTTATGCAAACAAGGTTTCCAATAATCCGTCCAGTCGGTTCGATGGTGACAATCAGATGCACTGAACGACTAATAAAAACTGATACGGCACGCAGGCAATAAGTTCCAGCCTCTAATTAACCCAGCATCGTTGCTGTGATGTCCGCCCGTACTTGCACTAACCAGGGGAGCCCGGCGTTCAGAACTACTGCACCCTCGCCACACAGTTGTTGGCGGACCATGGTTAAGCACCGCGAAGGCTGTTTCTCAAACACAAACTACAGAAACCCACCCTGCAGGGTGGTGGGAGGTTTAGAGTACTTTGGGCTGAACACCATGAACAAATCAATCTTGCAATAAATGGGTTAGGGATTCAATCAACGTTTTCAACTTCGACATATATGTACTCTAGATCCACGATAGAAGAAACCATTAGCAGAGACCCTACCGAATTAACAGGCAGCAGTCTTAGTGTAATAGAATAGCATCAATATCTTCATTTGTAACTATAAGCATCCAGCCTCTTGCTGGCGTCGCTTGGTTTTTTGTCTCTGATTGGGTGAAATTGCAAAAGCGCCCGTCCTTACATCCACCCTTCCGCAGCTTTTACTCGTCCCTCAGTTTCTTTCTTTGTTTGTAATCATATTAATTATATGGTAATCAAGCGCTGCGGGGTTATGATATACATCCTTACCCCTGATCCCCCAGTTTCTGCGAGGATCATCCTCAGAGTTACTTTACATTCTACTTGGGTCCCATGGCCTCCGAGCAGAGCTAGCCGCTTCCTCCTTCTCCTCCGCACACTCTAGTTATTGCCAATATCAGTTTCCTTGATTAGGGGAATCCGGTGGCCAATTGATTGGCTTGAAGTGCCGAACAACGTCCATCCCCTAATCCTGCTGAAGTTCAAAGCCGAGATATTGTTGTTATATGTGGTACTGGTTTCACGACGCCACCCAGGCGGACGAGTGGCTGCGTATCAACCGCAGTATTTGAGGGAAGAAAGTCATCTTGCTGTTCATTTCTCCTTAGTGTAGTTCTACGTTGGGTAACAGTAGACTAAAATCCCGTTTTACAGAAATTGATCCTCCCAGTCGTGCTCCGCTGGTGCTAGATCCGCAGAAGGTTTCTGGATAGCCTTGTCCTCCATGAGCGATACGTGTGACGGGTATGGTTTCGTGACGGGTGTAGTTTCGTGCTCGGGAACCCCGGGACTGACGCTTGCAGCCAATGACAGCCTGCCCACATATACTGCGTCGGGAATTCGAATCGCCCGATAGCATGTGCAGACTCGGGTATGGAAGGTACAATTAGGAATAATTGAACCTATGCCCATAGAGATTTGTATGGATCGAGCCTAAAATATTTCTGGTTCTGCCTTCCATACCCGAAGGGTACAAGTTGCAACATAAAGTAACGTCAAACGAGCTTCCACATGTATACCATGCTTCCGGGTAGGGATATGGGATTGACACTGCATATAGTATGCTGAACGTTTGTTCAATGTCTCCAGCTTCCCCACTTCCTTAAATTGCCGAAGGTTACTGTGTAATGGTCTTTGCTTTATAGATCTACTTGTAGTGTACATTTCCCACAGTCCCCCGGCCTTCGAATTCTCCAACTATCATGGCTTCAACAAAAGACATAACAGCAATACAGAGGGACGCCTCCTCATCCGAAGAGATAGAAAAGGTTGAAGCCAATGTTGCCAATGATGGTTCACGGAGTGGTGGCGACACTCAGGAGCCCCCAGTATGTGTAACCCGTCGAACATGATACGGTGTATACTAACTTAGGTGACTAGATGACATTTCGCCGCTTCATGTCGTTTGTGGCAATGGCGTTTCTGTGGACAGGTTCTCAGATTCCAGTGTATCTTTTTGGTGAGTGAACGCGCAGCACTTCACTTGACGCGCATTCGCTGACATTGTCCTTTAGGTGGAATTCCGCCGTATATCTACGTACGTTTCCAGTTCGAACGCCGGTATCAAGGCTTACCATCTCGCAGCGCGACATCGGCGGTGCAGATCGATGGATTTGGTTTGTGCTTGCAAACCTGCTTGCCTTGGCAGCAGTTTGCCCATTTGTCGGCAGCCTGTCGGATTTACTTGGGCGCCGCTACGTCAGCTTGGTAAGCACTCTCGGAAATTTCACTGGATTGGGCTGATGAGTGCAGATTGGTGCGGGGTTTTTGATGTTGGGAATGGTTGTAGCTAGTACGGCCGATACAATGAATATCTTTATCTGTAAGTCTCCCGCCATGGTGGTAACCAATCACTAACCAGTCTGAAGGTGGCATGACCTTTTCTGGTACGCACAAAGCAAGCACGAAATGAACAAAGAATCATTGTAGAAAATATTGACAATCTTTAGGAATGGGTGCGGGCATTTGCGAACTTACCGCCTTGGCCGTGACATCAGAACTAGCTCCCGCACGCAAACGGGGAACATATGTTGCAGTTTGTAAGCTTGAGTTTAGAATTCGCCGTCATTGAAACTCGAAACTCATTCTCGCAGTGGTTTTTACGATTGTTCCCTTCGCGCCGTCGGTTCTCTGGGCACAATTGATTTCACACAACCATGGATGGTACTACAGATCGTTCTGTTTGCGCCTTCGGTCCCCCGGACATAGCTGATTGTGAAATAAAGGAGATACTGCGGTCTGCTTTCCGGTGTATGGGCCGCATTCGGATTCTTAGCCACCTTAATCTTCTACTTTCCGCCACCGCGGGTAAACTCTTCGGGCTTATCTCGAAGCGAAATAATCGGACGGATTGACTTTGTCGGCGGGTTTCTTTCGATTAGTGGTATGATTCTCTTCATGGCGGGAATGCAGTGGGGAGGATATCAAGTAGGTTAATCCACAATACGATGACCGTGCTAGCGCTGACCAATACCAGTATTCCTGGAAATCTGCCCATGTTCTAGTACCGCTCATACTCGGAGTATTATTGCTCATTGCCTTCTACCTTTGGGAAGTTTATGGCACAGAATACCCAATGTTTCCTTCAAGACTCAAGCAAGCCCCCCGTGTCCTTGGATTGACTTTGGTCATCACGTTCATCAGCGGGGCAAACTTCTTTTCCGTCCTGATGTTTTGGCCGACGCAAGCCTTCAATGTGTACGGACAAGACCCAGTCGGTGTCGGCATCAGAGGGCTACCGGTAGGGTTCGGAATACTAACGGGCGCCGTCTTATGCCTATGTCTTTTGAGCGCCTTCCGCGGCAAAAACCGGGAGTTAATGATTGTTGCATCCGTGCTGATGACTGCAGGTATGATCCTAGCCCAGCTCTTTGAAGTTTGCTAACTAAATACCAAGGATGTGGCTCGCTGGCCGTGGCAAAGGTTGATAATTTGGGTACGTTATGGGGCCTCCTTATTCTCGCCAGTCTTGGGATTGGAGGAATCGTCGTACCAGCCTCTATCATTACCACCATCATTTGTCCTGACGACCTCATTGCCACTGTTGCCGCCCTGACGCTAGCAATCCGAGTGATTGGAGGATCTATTGGATACTGCGTGTACTACAACGTATTCATCAACAAATTCAAGCCAAACGCAATCCATTACATTGGAGGAGCACTGTATCAGATGGGGATTAAGGACCCAAAGGTCATTGGTGAAGCTATCGTGCTGACCGGCGCGTCTATGCTGGAGGAGCTGCACCTTCTTCCAGGAATCGCAGGGAACCAGACTAACTACGAGATTCTGGTAAAGGCGGGACAACTGGCGTTTGCGGAGAGCTATAAATATGTGTATTTGGTGAGTATTGCATTTGGAGTGGTTAGTATTCTGGCAGCTTGTGGATTGGGTGATATTTCAAAGTATATGGATGATCGTGTTGCCGTGGTTATTCAATAGTAGGTTGAATGAATTATATCACCTTGGTCTTGTCAACCTGAAGTCCATGCACGCCGGACTATGTAGTCCGGCATCCTTGCATGGGTTTTCTATGTGTATCGATGGAACCTCAATGAACCGGAATCTGTAACTGTCTCTCCAGATTCTCGACATAACTTTGTCTGCCGGTAGATGCCTGAAATATGGAAGGCTTGGTGCATCAACCGGTCCGAAGATCGATACAAGCGATACTAGCACCCCTGTGCTCGCTTGCGTGCGTGGTTCTTAGCTTCGCCACCCAATGGCCAAGTAAAGTGCGCTACATCGCTTTGGAAGACGATGGACCCCCTCATACATGTGTCACAAGTATCCCTCGGAATGCATGATCAATGTTCGATTAGGAGGGTATCCATGCTACCTTAATTTCAAAATTGAGAGCTAGACTGAGCAAGGAGATCGATCTCAGTGTTGGTGGATACGCGGATAGGTGGGTTATTCGTTATGTTCAATTGGCTACCGAATTTTCCAAACCTAGCTTCGGGCATCTTCCATCAATTGATCAATCATGCAGAATCACGTCATAGCAGCTTTAGGTGCTGTGCAAAGCTTCAATTCGGGCATGAAATTGAGCATTGTTCATTGGACAACGTACAATAGAACGGCACTTTCATTTTCGGAAGACGGTTGCCTATCCGTCGGCGTCCTAGCGAGGAAACCCCCACAGGAATACAACAAGAAAATGGAAGCTCCATGGATTTGACAGGAAGGTTCGTCAGTTACACTTTTGACTTCGAATGCCGGCCACTAGACGGTGCGAAAATCGGGAGGAAAAGAGGAGAAGATTCCTTTTACTACACTCCTTTCAGTTAAAAATGTCCCACGCTAACCTTTTGAGTGTGAGCGTCCAGACACTAGCGCACTCATATAGCTAGCCAATTGCCGATTTTTCTTT